GAATTTCCTGGCTGACACTGTGTCTACTGTGAAGATCATAGGTGGTGGGTCTACTACTTGGAGTTCTACCAAACATAAGTTTTATTTTTCCCTAGATACACTGGGACTTTGATCTGTGAGGTGGTGCTGAAATGATGAGGGTCTGCTGTGGGGTTCACAGATGGCAGGTCACTTACCACATATCCTGATATGTTCCAGGAAAACAGACAGTTATATCTCCCAATGATTTCCTGGGTGAGCAGGCCTACTCTTAGACTGAGACTGGGAAGGGCTAGAGCCAATATGCAGGGCCATTTCAAGATTCACAGTTACACCAAGATCAGAACATCAGCTTTTAGGGCACTGTCAGATATCCTGTTCTCCAGCCCCCCAACTCCCACCACCCAGGTAGGCTAACTTTCTCTCTCCAGACAAGAGTAGTGAGAACAAAAATCTAGGGCTATCTGAGAATCCTATATGAAACAGAGATTGGTAAGTCTGCCAAGTAAACTCAGACAGGTACATCTTCTAATGCCACCCTGGCTTTGGAGAGCCACTCCAAGGCCACAGTTTTGAATGAGTGAAACAGGTTCAGAGCTATTTTAGAATCTACCATGGGACCGAAGTTGACAGGCCTGAAAAAAATGGCACTGAAAATGGTACTGGTGTTTCAGAATCCCAGCAAATCCCTGTGTGGAGCAGGTTACTCCCAGACTACAGATGAGAGAGATTTGGGCTGAACTCTAGGACCCTTCAGGGTCTGCTGTAGGATAGAGGCCAACAAGCCTATCTTGGGGCATCTCCCCTCAGTTCCCTATACTGACTGGATAATCCCAGTGCTGCAATAGAAAAGAGGCTACTGGTCCCTACACAAGACCCTTTTAGGATCTTCTGTGGGGCAGGTTTTTCCAGGTTTGTCCCATTAGCACAGGTGAATGAGTGTTCCCTTGGGCCCTTATGCTAGCATAACTAGGACTTAGGTGGCATAGACCGAAATGACAGGAGCACTTCCAGGCCCACTGTTAGGATCATGTTGGCAGACACACAGACCTGTCTCTGAGGCATGCTGTGTATGATTTCTCCTAGACTTTTTGGTTGCTGCTTTTGTTTGTAGGCTCAAGACCAAATAGGTCTGTAGTCAAGCTATTTGAAGAATGGGGTAATTTCTAGGTCTGACACCAGAGCTATAATCAGTGAACCTATCACCTGGGAATGGATCTGCATTTAAGCAAACAAACAAACAAACCTTCTAGGTCTCAGGCTTTTACAACCTCCTGCCTGAATCCAATACCTCCTACAAAGAGACTTTTGTCCCCAGATGAGAGCAAAACTCTCATTTTTAGGAGAAATATGAACAGGTGACCATCTATTCTACCAACTTCTATTATCACCCCCTGGCTATGTGTCTTAATGGCCTTCTATCCACTCTGTTGGTGAGAGAGAAATTCTAGCCCTAGTGTTATGGACGTGCCCAAACACAAAACACTTTACATTGGAAAGATGATACAATATTTATTGATCACATATATATCACAGCCCAAGGGAGGAAGATACTACACATGATGCAGGGCCACATGGAAGTTAAACTTAGGAACAGAGTGAACAGCTAGGGTTGTGGGATGCATGCTTTGTATTCCTGCAGGAAGGTGTAATTGGCTTGTGTGAATCATTCTCCAGGCTGTCATAGCTATTTAGGATAAGGAGACCCTGCACCTGATCTGTTGGATAAGATGGTTATTTGGCTAGGAAACCTTATCTGCAGGAGCAGAATGGAGAGGAGAACTTACAATAGGCCTATATGAGTCTCTGTCAAGTTCCTCCAGTTATTGAAGTAGCACAAAATATTGGGCCTTAATTTGAGAACTTATGTAGCATCTTAGTAAATCTTAGCTACTGGGAAGGTAGACTAGAATGAGAATATAAGAATAAAACTTAATTTGGGGGCCAGGGATGTAGCTCAGTGGCACCACACCCATTTGGCAAGTGCAAGGTCCTGAGTTCGATCCCTGGTACTGGAAAAAGAAAAAATCTATTAATTTTTTTAAAGTAGCATTCATTTCAGCCAAGATAGAGGGGTGTATGCTATTTTGGGGTGGCACAGTGACATTGCCTCTGTCTGGGCTTAGATAAAATTATGAATTAACCCTACTTTATCTCCTTTTATCATGGCTTCAGAATAACCTTGTCTGAGGTTAATATTATATCTGATAGGAGAACAAAATAGCCTAACTCTCACAGCCAGCTTCTCAAAGTAAGAGGTCCTCTCTCTCTCTCTCTCTCTCTCTCTCTCTCTCTCTCTCTCTCTCTGTTAGAAGGATGAGATGGTGGTAAGAGGAGAAGTTACATGGAAAGATGACTGTGTAAAGTTTTCTTCAGAAGACACATCAAAGCTCAGCCTTTACTGTTAATAAGGAACTATGCCTAAAATGGGGCTTCAGCTTAGTGGTAGAGTGTTTGCCTAGCATGTATGAGGCCCTGGGTTAGCACCACAAAAGAAAAAAAAAGAACCATCAACATGAAGAATGATTGCAGAGGGTGTAGATAGGGAAGAGGAGAGGAGACAATTTGTAGTGATTACTCCTGTTTGGTGGAAACAGCAAGTGTGGTAAAAGAAATATTTCATCATACTTGATTTTTTTTAAATCAGGAAGATGGATCTTTGCTTCTCTGACTCTTCAAGAGCTGGAGGTGAAGGAGAATCAAAATTTCATAAAATGGGGAATAAAATTATGGAACACCTCCAAGTGATAGTGATACTGGATGGTCCTCCAAACAGAGCCTCACTCCCCTCCATCCTATCCTCACAGATTTAGTTCAAATATATAGACCCTACCTGAAAAATCCAATACTAATTGATATTTTAATATGATCCTATATATTATACAGCAAAATTGCTTGTCCAGAAAGGTTTTACCACTGTCCAGGGAAATAACTGGGGCTGTTACCCAGTGAATGCACTGTCAGTGGCAGAAGATCAATTACTCTAGATTTAATTTTCTTTTCTCTCTTGAAATTACATACAGGGTAGTCATTTTTTTCAGACCATCTAGCATACAACATATTTGAGCTACATTTCCATTGTCATTTAATAGTGAAGTGTTCGTAGGATATGGCTTTATCATTCCATCCACCTATCCATATACAGCTGATGTGTTTAAACACTATACAAGTGCTGGCTTGAAGACATTGTTACCAATGGGGAATTTAGCATATTAGTACAAGAAAATATTAACAATGATAAATAGCCCAAGAGCAGAAAATCTTGATTATAAGGAAGAAGAATTCTGGAGCCAGATGGGCTACATTCCAAGGAGAGCTCTTCCACTTCTTAGTTGTCACTGTAGACAAGTTACTTAGATCATTTCATCTATAAATGAAATAATACTAGTAACTATTTCAAAGCTTTGATGTGGACATTAAAATATATATTAAGTTCTTAGTCTCGGAACATGATAAACACTATATAAGCCCTAGCATTGTAATAATGATTGCAACTATGTATTGTAAAAGAAATAAAGTACTTACTGTAAGCCAGGTAATACACAGGCCCTCTAGAAGGGAAATAATGAATCAGTCTTTGGCAGCATCTGAAATTACATTTAGCTTAAAATATATTTTCTTGTCTTCCTGATATGTCTGATACATTCACAACTACCGAGGATATATTTTAATAAATTCTGTGACTTAGCTCTTTGGACTTTGCCTAAAGAATGCACTAGGATTCTCAGATCCTTAATTGAAGTAACTCTACTTAGTACCAATGAAATAAGTGTGATAACGGCTAGATCTTGCAAATCTTTACATAAAGCAAACACCTGCCTGGTGTTAATAAGATACATGAATTTTAGACAACAGAAAATTACCACTATGTCTGTCTTGATAAAATACCAACAGAGTTCTCATTTATTTCATTATATTTGAAAGTTTATTTGACTTCCCATGGAATGTGAATGGAAAAAAATTCACATGGATTGTGAGTTCATGCCAGGTGCTGTGATTCAAAATATTACTGAATCTTTACAAATGCAGCATTTATAGTGATTGATTCTGAAGCATTTCACTTATGTTCATCTAAATTATCCTACTAGGCTATAAGCTTAGGAGAACAGAGATAAAGTTTTATGCTTCTTTGAAATTCAGAGAGAGTTAACACTGGAACATATACATACTAAATTATTGCTAAATAAATATTTGGTTATTGTTTATATATCTAATGAAACTAGGACAAAAATATAACCCAATTGGGCCGGGGATTTACCCCAGTGGTTCCGTCGCCTGCCTTGCAAGTGCAAGGACCCGAGTTCGATCTCTGGTATAAAAAAAAAAAAAAATATATATATATATATATATCCCAATGTATTTTATTTGTATTTCTATCCATGTGGTATATAATTTAGGCTGTGTAACCACTTACTATTGTTGAGTGTGTGTGTTTATATATGCCCATACATTAATTGGCCCCAGCATTGATTTCTAATGATAAATGAACCCAGACATTATAACTGGGGGAACAAAATCATCTATACCTGATGGATTCCCTGAATAGAGCATTTGGTTCATGTATTAGAATTGAGAACAGGAACAGGAAACATTTTGTAGTGATTGCTTTTCCATAGAGTTACATTAGTATTACCCACTCTGCTAATCATAACTTCTTAGCAAATCAGAGATATCACTCAGTGGTAGCTCTTATGATATAGCATATGAAAATGCATTCCATTATTAATGAATAATGACATGGTAATGAATAAATGCTGTTAATCAAGCATATTGTTCATACAAATGATTTTTAAGAAAGAAATCTTCATGTAAAAATAATAGAATTGAGAATCACATTCTTATTTTTTTAAGAGTAACATTTAATTGGGATCAATCCCAATGATGAATGCAATTGTATTATATACCTAAAATGTACCAATAAACTAAATGAAAAAAAAAGAGTAACACTTAATGACAATTTGATGGTTTTGAAATACGAGTATTCTGTTTAAACAAATAACTGCTTTTGTTCATATTTTAAGGTGAATTTGGAGAAGTCTGTAGTGGGCGTTTGAAGACACCAGGAAAAAGAGAAATCCCAGTTGCCATTAAAACTTTGAAAGGTGGCCACATGGATCGGCAAAGAAGAGATTTTCTAAGAGAAGCAAGCATCATGGGTCAATTTGACCACCCAAACATCATTCGTCTAGAAGGTGTTGTCACAAAAAGTAAGTTTCGGATTTTCTTGGATCTTTATTTATCAATCTGACTTTGTTTAAAAACTTAATAATAATACCACAATCATCAAAGAGATAACTTTGTTGATATATCATCTTCTGATGCTACCCCTTAGAATTTTGATTCTAGGCTATGACATTATCAGAGTTTGCATTGGTTGCCAAATAGCTTTGAAATGGTATTATCTATAAAGCATTGCAAATTTAGTTGAAGTCAGTAAGTCAAGAATAAAAGATTATATTTCTTTCTAAGCATCACTATTAATAAAAGGAATAGTTTCAATATTTTGGGCCATTCAGGTTAAATACTACTGTTTAGAAATAAATTTTATATACAAATATAGAATGCTTTATCTACAGTAAAATATTTCAACAAAAATGTTCTGTATGAAACCATCTACATAAATACCATTAAAAATAAATTATAATTGATAAAAACTTAAAAGAATTATAATTTCTAAAATAAAAATCCTGCTCTTATAGATAATAGGATCAAGCCCATTCTTTTGAAAGGAAATTTCTAAAAAATCCAAAATTAGTCATATAGTACTCTAAAAACATAGATTGCTGTATATTCACTTTTATTTAAATAATAAGGTACAAAATGTAACAATATTTCTTCCTACTTTATTCAATAATGAATTAAATATATAAATTCAAAACAAGATGGAATTTAAAATTAAAATAAAAGTAATTTAAATTTAAAATAAAAGTAATTTAGATCCTTGAGAGATATATATCTTTTATACAACTGAAATTTCCAAAAATCATTTGCAGGATGTTGAAATTTTATGTCATATTTGGAAGCAATAGTTTCTCTGGCATGAGAAACTGAAAGTGTAAAAGGGGATCAAAATGTATAATAGATAATGTGAAATAGGAAGAAAAGGTCCAAAGGGGAAGAGGAAGAGGAAGTGGGAGGGGGAGGGGGAAGATAAGAAAAAGTATGAGAAAAGAAAAAAATGGAAACAAAGTCTTTGTAAATAGGGAGGGGTGGAGGAGTTGAAGCAAGGGAAAGGGGAATGGGGAAAAAAAATAAGAACCAAGATATATCATGTACAGGTACAAATTCCCAATGATGAATGTCATCATATTGTATACCTAAAATATACCAATAATCTTAATGAATTTAAAAATAATAATAATTAAAATTAAATGAAAAAATGCAATTGAGTGTGTTGGAAACTCCTAAGTCCTTCTCAGAAGGCCTTGGCCAACATGCTGCCACAAGGAGCAGATTGCCCATGGCCATGATTATTTGGAAAGCAGAAAAGAGTGCTCTTGATGTCAGGGGTACAGGGGGCTTTTACTGGCCTTAATGGGACTTTTCAGTATTCATCCCCCTGTGTAGTTGTTTCTCACACTGACTCTGAGTTTCTCTGTGTGACTGACCTTGGCCAATGGGACATGAACAAGTATGATAAAAGTGGAGGCATTTTACATGTTAGGACACTGAGGTTTGTCCTAAAATGCTGCTTCTTCCTGGAACCTAAACTCCACCTGAGTGAAGGCAGTCCATATGCCAAGGCCACAGCAATGCTGGAAAGAGAACTGAGTTGCTCTGGTCAGCAGCCTAGCTGAGTGCCCAGTAGAGAGCACTGATTGCCAGTCTTATACATGACCATCTCAGACATTATTCCCCACCTTTATTCCCTTCCACCACCACCAGATGGCTGCAGCTGTGGTAAAGAAGCCACCCAGCTCAGTCTACCCAATCCATAAAATCATAAGACAGAATAAAATGGTTATTATAAGCCATTAAATTTGGATGGTTTGGTGTACAGAAATAGAAAACAAACAGATGAATCCCAATTAGAATTCTTCTTCTGTCACTTAAGATTCGTGCAGCTTTGTATAATTTGACATCTCTATTCTTTACTTCCATATCTGTAAAATAGGATCAAAATAACCCATTGTATTATTGACTGGAGCATCCCAGTTCTCTTCTTTGCAGTATTATAAAGAAATGCTCTAAGAATTAAATTTGTAATTGTATCATTCATTCAGTATCACATGTGGCTCATAGTAAGCCACATAAACTGGTTAGTCATTATTGATAACTACCTATGCCACACATGTTACATATATCTTTACCACTTTATCATCGCAGCAACTCTTGTGAATATCAATATCCATATTTTAATGATAAGAAATTGAGGTTCAAGCAGGTTAACTGGCTTAGGACTTCTAACATAGAGTATCATGATCAGTGGTTCAAACAGAAGTCCCTCCTACTAAAACTCATGCTTTCTTTCATTTTTTTCCCCCTTGTTGTATCATAGTGAATCAATAACTAACACTTTAGTTATTTTATCTAAATTAAATAACATTAAACAAATAATCTGAATTAAAAACACAACACTGTTTTTAAAAATAGTAAAAATAGTGAAAGCAATTACTCCTATAATATAATTTAGGAAATATCTATTTTATAATAACTACTAAAGAATAAAATGTAAATGAGAGAAATTGAGATACAGAGAGATGAAATAGCATATTAATTATTTCTTTTATATTTTCTAATTTCCTTCCCTTTAATTTAGCTGGAAAAGTTTATTTCTTTCATCTTACATCTCAATGGCAAGAAAAATATCATTTTTAAGTTGAGTTAGGCACTTTTACAGAGTATTTAAAATAACAATTTAAATATGATAATTCCTTTTATGTATACTTAGGCATGAATTATCTGGAAATGAGTTTTCAACAATAAATTACAAGGTTTAAAAGATATTTAGTTTTTTCCTTTGATAACTCAAGTTATATGTTATTTTCATGCATTTCTGTGTTTTTTATAAATATGGGCATATATATATACATATATAAGCTCAAGAAAAAAAAAGATACATGGTCCTATGAAAGTGGGAGGTATATCCTAAATCAACTGCACATATTTAATAAGATAATCCATAAATTTGTCTTCCAACTTGAAATTGTTTATTTTACATAAATATTTAAACAATATAGTAATTACAATCTAACAATCTCACCCAAAAGTGAGACCAGTGACTTCTACCTATCCAAATTTATGTGATTCAAAAGTGAAGGCTGTTGTCCTATTAGGGTAAAGAAGAAAGAAAAGAAGATTCCATTTATATTATAAGAAAATTGATAAGAATAGATTCAATACTTGAATGACAATCACCACTATAGTTTTAACTTGTAAGAGTGAACCCTATATAATATGGTGTGATGCTGCCAAAGTAGGCAGTGAGGATGGAGAAAGAAATAATGCCCACAAAGGGAAGTGGATTTGTTTATGCTATTATCATCTTAACTCAAATGCTATGGCATTGTTAGGAGAAAGGTAATAAATAAATACGTAAATAAATCCATGCTCATTCCCATAAATATATGGTAATTGTTCCAAGATTGCCTTTATGTACCTAAGAGATAGCTAGCAATTAATGCTCCCTAAAGACTAACCCATTACATAGAGATAATACTGATGAAGATATAGGTAAAATATAGGCTTATAAGAGCATTTTTGAAAGTCTAAGAAACAAATGTATAGGCTCTCAGTTAAAAGTAATAAATAATTATAGATAAAAAAATCTCAAAATTGTTCTATAAATTCTTAATATGCATATTAATCTTGTAAACTTTTTTTCTCTAAGAAATATATAATATAAGATTTTCAGGAATACTTTTGCTTCCAGTTATATTTGTGTATGTAACTGCTTTTATAAAAAAACTTGAAAGCTAAATGATTAAAAGCTATATTATACAAAAAAAGTATGTCTGGTAAAAGTTGAAATTATTTATATGATATACATCACAATTTCATTAACCTGTTATGATATAATGATATAAAAAGAGATTAACTGGCCTATAACCATGTTCTTAGTGCACACTTTTCCTCCTAAAAACAAATAGAAACCATTAGTTAAAGAACAGATGTGTAACCATTAGTAGCATAGATAGTAGTGATTTGTAACAGATAATGCATACACCAGTGTCATTAACTACATAACCAAAAAAGAAAGAGCTATGCTTCTATGAACATGAGAATTACAGTTTAATGATGAAGAAATACATTGAAGAAACCACATTTCAGGAGACTGGGCCCCATAATTAAAATTCATGATAATGGAAGAACTAAAAAGAAAAATAATGAAGTATATATCTTCCAGAAGAGTTTAAGTTACAATAACTATATCTCAACTAAATCATAAATCCAGTAAGCAGTAGTGGAAGTAGGATCACAAACATTCCCAAATAGAACTTCATGTCAGTGTAGGCTATTCTTTCATTCTTTTCTTTTTTAAGTACATATTTGCAATACATAATGATTACATTCATTGTGAGGAGTTGGCACATGTATGTAAATGATACATCTTAATTCATTTTATGCATCCTTCCTCTCACCCATTCATTTCTTGATCTCTTTCCTATTTGCTAAAGTTCTATCTCTCTGCTTCCTATTATCTTTTATTTTGCTCTTTGATTTATTTATGCTTTTAGTTTCTCATATAAGAGAAACTATGTCATATTTATGCTTGTGTGTCTCATATATTTCACTCACGTTATGGTGTCAAGGTGCATCCATTTTCCTACAAATTACTCAAATGTATCCTTTTTTATAGCAGAGTAGTACTCCATTGTGTGAGAATAAGACATTCTTTAAAGATTCCAAGGAACTTTATTGAAGCTATAACTGACAGGGCTGGGCCTGCTCAAACCCTCTTTAAATACTCAAGAACAATAAAAGTTACACAAAGAGTTTTGGAACGTCCATAGAGTGTCCAACTAAAAGAATAAATTAAAACAGTCAAATTTTAATACAAGTATAAGAACTGCTTCTTAGGTCTCAGAATATATTGCAATTGTCATATAATAGTCATTCCCTGTGATTTCCACAACTATTGTTGAACTGCTATACCTGCTTCTCTGCCTAGTAATATTTGTAGAAATAACATGACTTCTTTAGACTTTAATTTTCCCCTATACAAAATACTGAAAATTGCAGATTAGATAATAAAAAGATCACATCT